AAGATTACTTTTTTTTTAGTATTTTAGAATTTTTTTATTTTTATTAATTTTCTTATTTTTCAATGAATACATTACTTTTTACTAGTTGCACTACTTCTTAGTTTTGCCAGTTCACCTTTTTGGTGAAAGTTAAAACTAAATTTATCTAACAACTATAATGAGTTCTATATATTTTTTTTGGTTTGTTAAGCAAATTTAACAATGTTCATTATATGCACTATTACTATCAACTAGAAATTATTATTTATAATGATCTATAATATCATATTATAGAGATCACCAATCTAATTTAATCAAAAATTATGCAGCTATATAATATAGTCACACTAAAACCAGTAATAGAAATCTTTATTTCAGCTAATAAATATATGTTTAATTATAATATATACTAGAAAAATAGGTTAATAACATATTAGCAATTCTTAAATATGTGTCAGATTAGTAGTGAATAAGCTACAGTAGTACTAATCACTGTTTTTAATCTAACTAATCTAATTAATTTAATTAAGCTTATATTAAACATTGCAAATAATTTCAATTATGCAACAGTTATATAAAATATATATTGTCATACTACAGAACTTATAGACTCTAAAATTCTCTATTCATAAAGTAAATGAGAGTCTTTCACATAATGTCAGATAAAATAGTACTCAAAAAAGGTGTTGGATTTGGGTGAGTACTAAGAGTAAGTACACCTTTATTGATTATACTGTAAGACTTTTTTTTCTTACATTATGAGTGCATTACTTATATACTTTTTCTCTATACACTAATTATACTAATTATGCTATCTATGCTAATTACACTAATTATGCTATCTATGCTAATTACACTAATTACACTAATTACACTATATTCACTATATCTATTAATTACATTAATTATGCTAAATCTACTAATTATGCTAATTACATTACATCTGCTAATTACACTCTATATATGTGCTATATCCAATAATTATTATATATTAGTATTTGATTATATGATCTAATTTAAATGAAATATTAACGATCTTTTTTTAGATCATAACAATATAAATTAATTAATTTTAAATATAAAAGGATAATTTTTTTTTTAAGTAATTTTTTTTCATTCAACAATTAAACTAAATCAATATGTTTCCCAATATCTATTGTGCTACTATATTTTTTTATTATTATTATACCTATACAGATTTATAAAAAATTAGTAAAAATTATAACTTTCTAACAAAATAATTAATTATGAATATATTTTAAATAAATATTTTTAAATAAATATTTTTTAAAAGATATTTTTTAAATAAATATTTTTTGAATAGATATTTTTAAATAAATATTTTTTAAATAAATATTTTTTAAACAAACATTTTTAAACAAATATTTTTTAATTAAATATTTTTTGAATAAATATTTTAATTGAATACTTTTTTTTTAATAAAAAAAAAACTTGCTAAAATTATCTTTTTTTAAAAAAATTAATTTTTTTAAAAAATCATCTTTTTAACAAAATATATTTTTTATAACAAAAATCTAAATTTATTTTAGACACTTACTTAAAATACCTTATCAAAACAATTAAAAATTATACTTCTTTAACAATATATATATATAATAAAAAACTTTAAAAAATTACTATTATATCAAACTACTGAGAATTTAAAGTATTACAACTAAAATTAAATAGGTTTGTAAATATTAATAATAAAGAAAAGATATAAGAATAGTGTTGTGAAACTTTTTGCCTTTCTTTGCACCTGTTTGTAAGTATAAGTTAGTATAGCATAGTAATAGGGTTCAAAACCCTCATAAACGGTTTGCATAAACAAGTTAGTATAGCATAGTAATAGGGTTCGAAACCCCAGAATAAGAAACAAAACTCTGTAATGCATAATTCGTAGTTGCATAATGTAGTAATAGGGTTCTAAACCCTAATATCGGCTTCGAGACTCTAATCCAGGGTTCCTGAGCCCAGGTACGGGTACGAAACCCCAGCAGGAGGTTTGAGATCTGACCACTGAAATCTGTATAAATAGGGCGTATGCCCAATAAATAAAGCTTAAATTCATTGCTAAGTTAGTAAATAAATACGGTATAAAATTGAAACTCTACGTGTAGCTGAAGTGATAAGCAATAGTCCTGCGTAGTATAGCCTAGTATTTGATCCCTAACCTTCACATTATTGTTTAGAAACTGACAACCCGTTAGAGTTAGGCACGTGACTTCTGTTGACCTATCAGCAACCCAGTAATCGGGACCACCACGGACTAGACTTGTCCGTCAGTTAGGAGCTAAGTTGAGGCCCCGTCTATGCTTGTAGTACTGTGTTAAACCGGCAACATATAAGAAAGACTCTCCCCAACTACAACATTTTGGTGTCAGTTGTGTGAAAGAATACCAGAGTGAGCAACCGCCAAAAGAACGTGTAATTAATCGTCAACGATCACTGTGTACATACGAGTAGTGGAAATATTGGAAAAAGAACATAAATAAGCACTGTGTGGGCAAAACGGTGACAATAGGACAAAGATTATAGGAAAATGTGAAAAACAAAATTAACGATTTAACCCCAGAGGACAGTGATCATGATTTCGGATGTATGAATAGAGAGAACACTCGAGAAGGTAGCAAACCCCCTAGTAATGAAAGCCTATTGGATAATCCGAACCTCCCAATGGACTATGAACAGCAACCAATCCCGGACCAACAAACAATGCAATTATTGCAACTCCTAGCAAATGCCTTAAAACTATTTCGTGAGCCACAATTGAAATTAGGTGAACGGAATGTGGTAAACTATCCTATGTTTAGTGGGAGAAACCAGGACCCTGTGGAATGGATTGAGTCGATCACACGAGCGTTCAATGCCAACAACATCCAAGAAGTCAGGCGAATTGTAATAGCAAGTGCGCACCTATCTGACCTTGCCACACTGTGGTGGGAAAGTTTGGAAAACCAGGGAATAGAAATACATTACTGGAATAATAAGACAATGGCAGAACAAAGTTTTGTACACCAGTTTCGTCAGAACTTTTGTACTTCGGCCCTAATCAACCAGTAGAATACCGAATTACTAACAAGACGACAACGTATAGGAGAAACGGTAGACCAATATGCTGCAGACATGTTGGTATTGTTCAATCAGGTCACCCGAGTTGGGAACCAGTACCCCGAATTAACTAAGGCACAAATGTTCGTTTAGGGACTTCGTCCAGACCTATCACTGGTTGTAGGACCATTTATGCCGAATACACTCCAGGAAGCTATCAACAGGGCATGAACATGCGAAATGACCTTTGCAAGAGGAATGTCGGTTTGTGGGCTAGCATTATACCATCAGCTAGCCTATGTGACCACCCAAGCACCCATGTCACCATCACACCAACCAATGTATCCGTGAACCAACCAGTCACACCTACACAACCTCCGAATGCTTCAATAGAGCAGGTTATAATGCTACTCTGAGAGGTGGCCACGGCAGTAAGGAATAATGGTAACAACAACAACAATTGGTCACGCCCCCCACAAAATGGAAACCGACCTGATAGAATAAACCGGCCACCCGTATGCTATGCTTGCCAACAATTAGGACATTATGCCCATGAGTGTCCGACCAACAATCGTGTCAATAGTAATGGGAACAGTAATAATCCCTGGTTCTGCCTCAGAATAATGCCCCTACGAATAATAATAGGATAGTGGAAAAAACTTCAAGGGCACAAGCAATGATAGCACAAATACAAGACGAATTCGAACATTTAAACTCGGAAGTGCACCTTTAGAGGGTGAGAGTGCGCAACTAACCACAAATCCCTCCATTGCAAAGATTGAAGAAGCATACATGGCAAAAGGAAACATGTTGATGAAGAACCCGCCGAACTAGAGCCTCCGCCTGGGAACAGTCATAGTGGTGAAGACAATCAAGCAAGTAAACAAGCAAGTGATTGGAAAAGTAAGCAAGGGAACAGTAAAAAAGTCATGAAAAGGAAGGTTACGAAGCCAGTGGAACCTCCAGTAATGGTAAAAATCCAGCCATATTCGATAATGACGGAACTGCAGAACAAAAAGGCCAACATAACATATGCTCAGCTCTTTCAAGTGGCACCTAACATACGGAAGAAGCCGTTGAAGGTGTTACGGCCTGGAAGGGTGACGAAAGGGAAACTTGCCGAATTTTGTCTCAATAGGAGTGATGATTCATATATAACATCAATGTACTGTAATGCTCAAGTGAACGGTAAACCAATCATTCTGATCTTGGACAGTGGCTCCTCTGGTTGTGTTGTTTTCACTGGGTTCCTAAAGGATGTTGGCATAACGATTGATCGTCCATCTACAGTGATGATGACGGGCGTACACGGCGAACAGAAAAGGCCACTAGGAGAGATTGATGAATTTTCAGTAACAGTTGGAGGAAAAACCATAACGTCCCGAGCAGTTGTAACTGATGCTAGAAACTACACGATAATCGTGGGGAACGATTGGATGAGAAAGGCTCGAGCACGATTGGATTGGGAATCCTGTGAGTTGATGCTAAGGGATGGAAACGAGAGGATAAAGGTCCCAACTGAGTATTGTAAGCCAGCGAATGTTGGGGATCGAATAGCAAAGATGGCCATGAATGAGGAGAGAAAAAAGGAGGATGAAGAAAGCGATTCGGAAAATGACAAAGATGATGGAGATGAGGACGAATCAGAATTTAGTGAGAGGATGAGTATGAAGAGAAGGAAGGGTTGGTGAGTCAAAATTATTTGTATTGCAGGTTCTACCCTATAAGGAAGAAGACCGATGTCATGTGCAGGCTGTGCTTAAGGAGAGGACACTATGAATCGGAGTGTATGTGGAATGAAGTTGAGGATCTAAAAGCAAGACTACATACAGGGGGAAGGAAGACAGACGAATTCAAGCTAGGAAATATGACCTCAGATTAGCAGCAGCAAATAAGGAAGATATTAAGATGGTATGAAGACATTTTCGCCCGTGAACCCAACCAGCTAGGAAGGACGTCCGTTGTGCATCATGAAATTCATACAGAGGGAGCCCCCCTATAAAGCAACAGTTTTATCCCACGTCCAAGGTGGAGAATAAGTTTATTGAGCAGGAAATAAAGAGAATGGAGAAAGCTGGGTTAATTCGTCCATCGTGCAGTCTGTGGGCATCTCTCTTCATATTGGTTAAGAAGAAAAATGGGAAAATAAGGCTGTGTGTTAACTTTAGAAAGCTGAATCAATGAACGAAACGTGATAGCTACCCCCTCCTGAGAATTAATGAGTTATTGGGAGCACTCAAAAACTCGACCTGGTATACCACCCTGGACCTCGCCAGTGGATTCTGGCAGGTCGGAGTTCATCCACGTGATTGCGAAAAGACAGCCTTTACCACCAAATTCAGACTATATGAATTCGTAGTGATGCCTTTCGGCCTAACAAATGCTCCCGCCACTTTCCAGCAATTAATGGATTGTGTGCTCCAGAAAGAAATGTGGGACTTTGTTCTGGCCTATATGGATGATGTCAACATATACTCTTCTAGTTTCGAAAAACACTTAGGCCATGTGGACGTCATTCTTGGTAAACTGTGCCAAGCAAATTTGAAATTGAATCTGGACAAGTGTGATTTTGGACAAGACCGAATAGAGTTCCTGGGGCATGAAATCTCTGGCAAAGGTATAACCCCAACTGTCACAAAAGTAGCCACTATGAGTAACTTTTCTCGACCCAAGAACCTTCATGCATTGAGAGGGTTTCTAGGTCTGTCTGGTTTCTATTGTTACTTCATTAAAGATTTCTCAGGTATAGCCACGCCTCTTTACAAGCTATTGAAATTAGGAGAAAATTTTACCTGGAAGAAGGAGCAACAAGAAGCATTTGACGAATTAAAGAGTAGGCCACTTCAGCTCCCATCCTTGCTCACCCTCAGGACGACGTTGGATTTGTTTTGTACACAGACACATCACACCTTGCTCTTGGTGCTGTTCTATCTCAGCCTGACGATAACAGGCTAGAAGGTGTTGTGGAGTATGCCAGTTGATCAACGAAGCCCGCCAAGCGAAATTACACAATAACTGAGTTAGAGTGTACCGCTATCATTTGGGCCGTGAAGAAGTTTCACCAATACCTTCACGGATCCCAATTTATAATAGTAACTGATCACACAGCTTTGACCTACCTTAACAAAATGGCTAACCCGACTGGCAGAATGGCGAGATATATTATGACTCTTCAGGGCTATGATTTTGTAGTAAAGTACCGACCTGGGAGGCAACTGGGGAACGTTGACGGGCTATCGCGGGTAGAGGAGTTTGAGTGAAAAAAAATTATTATTAAATTAATAAAAATAATAACAAAAAAAAATAAAAAAATAAAAAAATAAAAATATATATATATATAATAATAATAATATAGATATATCTGTGCATAAATAAGCATAATATTAATAATAACACGGACGTAGTAGTTAAGGGTCGGCTACGATGTTTATGCGCGGGGTTTGGGGTGCATAAATTAATAGCCTGGTAAAAGTACTAACGTGACCAGCTGCAAAACAACGTAACAACTGAAAGAAGCGAAAAAAAAAAAAAAAAAAAAAAAAAAAACCGATGAGCCAAGAGAGAGACCCAACTGCATACAAGTATTTTCGAGCTAGCTACCCTAAGGTGAATCGAATCTACCATCCGGAAACTGCTCTTAACCAATTATAAGTAGATTCTTGACCCAAATCCGTAATCCAGTCCAGGTGACGGTGTCCTGGCATATATATATATACAAAAAAAAAAAAAAAAAAAAAAAAAAAAGAAAACTAACAAGCTAAACAAATCTTTAAGATGGAACCCAAAGATTATACTAACCTGATTCAGTACCTAACTAAGTTAGAGCTGACTAGGGAATATTCAAAGAAACAAAACTGAAAGTTAAGGAATCAGTCCAGGTATTACGTTGTACGAGAAGGAGTGCTGTATCGAAAGAACCATCGAGAACCTGATTGGCCTTTAAGGGTACTAAAGCGTGAGGAAGTAAGAATGGTACTGAGAGCTTTACATGATGACCCCACATCTGGCCATTTAGGTGAAGGAGCAACAATAGAGAAAGCACGAAGATGGTACCATTGGAATCAAATGATAGGGGATATCAAAAGCTACATACAGAGTTGTGACGCCTGTCAACGCCGTGGGAAACCAAAAACACAGGAGGCATTACACCCGATACAGGTGGCACAACCTTTCGACCGAGTAGGAATAGACATAGTGAGGCCCTTGCCTCTGACGAGAAACGGTAACAGGTACCTGGTGGTAGCAATAGAGTATTTGACGAAATGGCCCGAGGTTCGAGTATTGCCCGACTGTACAGCGGAGTCTGTTGCTGCCTTCGTGTTGGAAGACATAATTGGTCGACATGGCTGCCCCCAACAGATTTTGACGAATCAAGGAACCCATTTTAAAAACCAGGTTATAGAGGAGGCCTGTAACCAGGCCAGTATCAAGCACAAATTCTCGTTCACATATTACCTACAGACCAACGGTCTTGTTGAACGGTTCAATCGAACCATCTATGAGGCACTAGCAAAGTGCGTAAGTCAGTACCAAGGAGACTGGGATGAATATGTGAGCCCCGCTCTATTTGCTTGCAGGACAGCCAAGCATGGTATAACCAAATATGACCCCTTTTACCTGATGTATGGAAGAGAGGCTGTGTTGACCATAGAATTACTGTTGGAAACTTACCCTGTGGATCCTATGGATGATGACTACTATGAGTCCATGGTTTTAGCCTGAACCTTAAAATTGGCGGACGAACTGTTTGAAGTTCGGATCAAGGCACGTGAAAACATTCGCAAGGCCCAACAAAAGCAGAAGTGGAGCCATGACCGACAATACCCCTTGCAAAGTTTCGGGATCGGAGATAAGGTGTTAAGGTACCGGGCTAAGCTGGAAAAACAATTAGGTGGTAAGTTAGAGGAAAAGTGGTTGGGACCGTACTGGGTGTATGATGTAATAGGTAATGGTATGTACCAATTACGTACGATGGGAAATGACGAAAGGGTAATAAAAGGGGCAGTGCACGGTAGTCAATTAAAATACTATAAAGCGCGAAATGATGGCGAAATGAGGTAATAGCAAAAAAAAAAAAAAAAAAAAAAATGGAACGACACTTTGAAACTTTAAGAAAAACAATCCAACAGCTTGTGGACTGAATGGAACCCGACGAAGAGCTGGAAGTCAAGGAGGGGAAAGTGATCTTTCGATACCAGGACCAAGAGATCCACAAAGGGTTTGGAAGAACGGAAAGAAGGACCAAGGCTCAGCAAATCCATAACCATTTGGCTCTGTATCTTCAAGACTTGAACCATCCCATAGGGACTGAACTTGCAATGCCTATCAAAGCCGCTAGAGAAACCTGGAGTGAAAAACTAAGTAACGTGTGTAGCAATGTCAAAGACCTGAACCCAAGGACCCTATCGACGGCCGAAGTATTGGAGACCTATTATAAAGTAGGAAGCTTGTTGTTTGAAAAGGGTTGGGAAGATGAAGCACGAAGAGAGCTGGCCGAGCGACTCCCGGCCCCTAAAGTGGGCTTAGTATAAAAAATTGCAAAGCGAGTGTATATGTTGTTTGCTGTGCGGGGTGAGTGGTGTATGTGCCAAGTTCAACATATATCGATTTTGATGTTGGAACGAATGTTGAAGGGAGATTTTTCTGGGGCAATGTTGGCGGAAGCAGGAAGGTTGAGATAGGAGGAGATTCGAAAAATGGTGGTGAGTTCGCAGGAGCTCACTCTTTAAGCAGGGAAGATGTTGCGAAACTTTTTGCCTTTCTTTGCACCTGTTTGTAAGTATAAGTTAGTATAGCATAGTAATAGGGTTCGAAACCCTCATAAACGGTTTGCATAAACAAGTTAGTATAGCATAGTAATAGGGTTCGAAACCCCAGAATAAGGAACGAAACCCTGTAATGCATAATTCGTAGTTAGCATAATGTAGTAATAGGGTTCTAAACCCTAATATCGGGTTCGAGACCCTAATCCAGAGTTCCTGACCCCAGGTATGGGTACGAAACCCCAGCAGGGAGTTTGAAACCCGACCACTGAAATCTGTATAAATAGGGTGTATGCCCAATAAATAAAGCTTAAATTCATTGCTAAGTTAGTAAATAAATACGGTATAAAATTGAAACCCTATGTGTAGCCGAAGTGATAAGCAATAGTTCTGCATAGTATAGCCTAGTATTTGATCCCTAACCTTCACGTTATTGTTTAGAAACTGACAACCCGTTAGAGTTAGGCATGTGACTTTTGTTGACCTATCAGCAACCCAGTAATCGGGACCACCCCGGACTAGACTTGTCTGTCAGTTAGGAGCTAAGTTGAGGCTCTGTCTATGCTTGTAGTACTGTGTTAAACTGGCAACATATAAGAAAGACTCTCCCCAACTACAACAATAGTTTCAAGCCTTTGAATTATATTCAAAGACAATGATAACACAAACCAAAGGTTATGTTATAAAGAGGAGTTGAGTACTTTTTCAGAAAAAATACATCCATAGCAATGAAGTAAAAAAAACAAGGTAATTATAAAATCAAGCATCTTTATTTATCTTGAACATAAAATATAAACTGTAATGCAAGCATTTACCTTAGATTAAAAAGATAACAGCTTAAATATAGTTGTTTATTAGAAATAAATATAAGATTTACATATAATTATATTATAGATTTTGCAGAATTATTAAGCTTTCGATGTATAAATATTGATGTATAAGAAAAATACTTAAAATTATTTAATAATGATCATTCTTTGATATCAACATTCTATACTTATGAAGATGAACTTTATCTTTATATTTCAAATGATAATAAATTATTTGAGTTATTTGCAAATAGATCTAGCTATCTGGACTATAATTCTGTAACTAGATTATATTATTAATATCATAAAACTACATTAGAAGACTTCTATAATGCAGAAATGCTTAATCATTTAACAGAATTAGTTAATGATTATAACAATTTAGAAAATAGTCGAGCAGCATTACAGGAATATAATGCATATATTAAAACTATCTTTATTTTTGTACCATAACTGGATTAATGTATTGAGTATATAAAAAAATTATGCAAACAGATGAATTATACTATATAGACTCATCTGCTTTATTTGATCTACTTAACATTTCAATTACCTTACTATATACAAGTTGCACTATTAGTATACTTCCTTTTGAATTAATTATAACATCAGATGAATCTGAAATTACTTTAGAAAAGATAGTAATTAATATATTATATTGTCTATTTTAAAAAAAAATTAATCTTATTTGACTAAAATAAATATTTTATTATTTAATTTATTAAAAACAATTCTTTTACTATATGTCTTTTACGAACATAGGAAACAAACAAAACTAATAGTTATGCTTACAGATAATTCAAGTTCTGAGTACAATGTATTAGAACTTTGTTGGTCACAAGAAATTCATTTATTATATACATTTCATGTCTTGCAAGCCTTTTGGTAATAGATTTATGACTCAAAACATCAGATTATTAAAGAGAATCAAATAACTATTATGAATAAAATGAAAATGATTCTTTATAAATCTAATTTTTTACAAATAGACAAATAGTATTATGAATTTAAGTAAGATTTTTATCATTCATATTTATTACTACAAAGACACTTTGAGCTTCTGTAAAACTGTTATCAATTTTGAACCTTAGTTTTTTAGACAAACTTGCCTATTTGAATAAATAACACTAACAATTACATTGAATATAAATTTGAAATACTAAAAGACATTGTCTTTGTCAAAACACAAGCTTATAACTTGGTTCAAGTATTTCAGTTTATGATATTAAATATAGAAACTTTTGATTGTTAGTAATAACTTAACTATGCATATAAATGATCTGATCACTTTTGAGTTACCAAACAATTTTTATATCCTAACTAAAAGAAAGTAAATATGAATTTTGTTCAACAAACAGGTGTGAAAAATGAATTTTAATATTGAGTACAAGTCAAAATAATCTTTTTTATATTTGAATAGTAAGATTGAAACATGCATATGTTCTATAGATATGAATGATATATCTTGTAAACATTAAATTGTAATTGCAATAAAGTTTTAATTCAAATATTAAATTTTCTAACTTTATTAACATTTAACAACCATATAATCTTTACTTATATTGCACTTGATAAGACAATTTATAATTTTAAACAGTATAAAAAAATAATATAATTTAAACAAAATTATTATTTTATTAGATTAAGTTACAAAGGATAGTTCATTTTATACCTCATCACATATAGAATCTATTTTATAAGAATATTTACAGAAAATAAGATTATCTAATAACTGTTTATTAAAACCTTTAGATAATAAACAAAGATTTATATCTATTATTACATATTATTATTATTATTACTATAAATGTAAAATTAAATCTTATATTATTTTTTTTAAAGCAAATCAAATCAAATAAATGAAGAAATCAACAATATTATACTTAATATTTTTTTGAAAGAAATAAGTAATGATTATCAAAATAGTAACCCACAATTCTGCACAGTATTGGATAAATTTGCAAATGATATTATGCATCAAAAGCACTTTTATTCTCCTGTCTAATCTCCTTTCTTTACAACAATAATTATTTGGATTCAACTTGTATTAAAAGTGATATCATAATTCATGTTTAAGTGAAATCTACCAAATAGCACAACTCTGAAAGTTCTGGCAGCACCAGATGAAGGTTACATACTAAAACAAATAAAATTAAAGAAAATCTTAACCCTCAGGTCATTTTAAGTCAAAATAAAAAAAAACTCAGTAAAAAAGAACATAATCTGGGCAAAAACATCCTAAATAATCAATTAAATTAATTTATTTAAAATATTTATTATTTTTTGCTTCTGCAATTTGTTGTTTAAATAATTTTTAATAATAAATAAATTTAGTGCTTTTAAAAATATCAATGTTTATCATTATTGTCAAAATTTTTAATTATTATTATTATATTAACATAATCATATTTTGTGAATTTTAGAAATTAGCATATGACATATCAGTCACTTGTGGCTTATTTGCCACCAACCTGGTACACATTCAAGAATTGCAGCATATTATACATATGATGATTATCTTATACATTCACAAATGCATGAATATGTATTTTTTATTACATATAAAAAATGTAATTTAGTTTTACACTATGTTCAGCTTATATTTCTGATAGTGATCTTCATAATATTTATGTGGATACATCAAAAGAGTAACTATAGATATAGACACTAAGGGTCCAGAGTGTAGTGACAGACAATAAATAAATTAATAAAAAAGCAAATTTAGTCAATGGTTAAAAAATTTTTCATGATTATAGTATGTATAGATTAATTTTATGAACAGTCATTTTATTGAATGATAGGATTAGCCTGATATATTGTTAGTGTTGACTAGAGGCAAATTGTCACAAAAACCTTAATTATGTATATACTGTTATGGGTAGATTTGACCCTAGAACTTTGAAAAAACATTACATAATAACTCACAATCTGCATCATGAAAACTGTTGTATCACAATATCCATAATCTAAGAAAAAACCACCTGCCTGATTTGGAATCCAACTGTTAAGGTAATATTACCTTGACAGGTAAAGTCTGTGGTTATGTCAATACATCATCATGTGTTGGGTTGTGTGCCATTGTGGGATGATGGGAAAAATGCTAAACTAATGACAGATGAATTATAGGAAAAAGGGAAGAGTATTAGTAAAAAAAGAAAAATGGTCTATGATTATAAGAAAAAAAATGTCAAAACTGTGTCCCAAGTCCTCCCTTTTCTCTCAAAAATGTTCTATAAAAATAATACTTTCCCATCCTATAGTAAGTAGATCTCTCTCCCGCTTAACATAGAACACACAGAACCGTCTTGTAAAAACTAAATCACCTTTTAACTTGTAACCCACCCTATAAAATAAATAAAGTTTATAATTAATAAAATGCTAGTTGTTAAATTTAAATAAACAATTAAAACCAATACACTCCTTTAAACTCCCCTGGTAACGTTCTCAAGGCTGCCCTAGACCAGTGCCAAATCGAATCCCCCTCACCTGTCTTGAGCAACGTTATGCGATGTCGATGAATTCGAAGCGACAATTCGTCGCATTCCTTCTTGTCCCTATAGTGCCTGTAGCCCGTATCAATACATAACTTAGTAAATGTACATTAAAAATTTGTGATTAACATGTTTTTATGAATAACGGACACTCTATACTAATATTTGACACTGTGAAGATTTATTTATCTGCTTTCTATATTTTGTGATTTCAATGATATTATTTCAAAAGTGATTGGGTAAATTAGTGATTTACAACGATGGGTGATTAATAACAATGGGTTAGTGATTCGAACATTGAGTGAGTTTATTGTTTCAATAGTAGATCAGTTAGGGCTTTAATATTGATGGGTTAATTTTAGCGGTGGGTAAGATAGTAGTTTAAACAATAAGTTAATGAGTGTTTATGATTCAAGTAATGATAAAGATTTTAACGAGTGGATTCGAGTTTTTGTAATGTAAATTAGTGCAGATTCGTGGCTTTGACAGAGATGGGTAGTGATTTTAATAGTGGGTGAAGGATATACAAAATGTGACAATTATGATCACGCTGACCAATCGAGAATTGGATTTTGGTACGCACACCATTTCTTTCTTGACTAAGTTATACGCTTTGTTT